CGGCATCAACAGTGTGAATTTGACTTTGTAAATCCCCTTTAAACTTTTATCCAGCATTTTACTGATCACATATTTTTTGAAAGTCTTAAGCGATTTACGGAAGTATTTTCTGAGCTTTGCCGCAGGAAGAAAAAGCAGGAAAAACTAAGAAAAATACAGCATGTGGGTCGAATCGTATTGAAGCACCAAGTAATTCACGAATAGAAGATATTCAATATTCTACAGCATTTTCGCACAACCGAGGGGTGGCTGACCTTAGCTAAATTCGCCGGTAATTCCAGTAGATCCTTGGAATGCAAATTCTGCAAATTAGAGCCATATTCAATATTGCTGAACAATTCTTTTTATCGATATTCTCTTCACCATATCAACCATTCATCGAATTATACCAAAATAGTTAGAATGTACGTTACGTTTGCGTGTAAGACATCAGATACAAAGTTTTTTTGTAGTAATCGACTTTGATGTGTCATTACAACGTTTTCACTTACAAAGGCAAGTTGCAGTAATTCATACGGTGAGGAAAGTGCCCTTGTTGTTGTTGTTTTTTTTTTAATTTTATTTTTCAAAACCTAAAACCCATGCAAAACCACTCGAAGTCAGTTGTTACGGTGGGAAAGGTTTTTTTGGTCGCTTCAACCGATAGCATAATGTGTGCCATCAGCTGACAGTTGTCACCAGCAACGGCGATTTTTTAACGTCAGTGTCAAGTGAAATTTTTCTCAATATCTGATAAAGTTTCAATGATAAGCCAAAATCTTTCAGAACAATGAAATTCACACGTTTCATGTCTTAGCGTTTAAAACGAGTGAAATCTGAACTATTTTTATCTGTACTATCATCATCATTATAATTATTATTCATATTATTATTATCACTATTATTACGTTTGTAATTAAGAGTTTATAGGTTCGAAATGTCTATTACGCACAGCAATAGACAGCGATTGATCTAATTGCTTTCGAAAAAGCAAAATTTTTCAAATCTCAGCAATAAGGCAGGCTCATTTCTTCATCGAATAATAGCTTATCATACGTGCCACACACTTTACTCAATATTTATAAACAAATAGAGAGCAAGTAGCGCAGCCAATAAGATTACAGCATCTTTCATAGAACGGTGGAAGATTATGTCAAGTACTATCGTTAGTATTTTTGTCATAATTTGTCTCTGCATTGTATAAAGGCAGCGAACTTTTTGCTTTTGAGTGGTTAAATATAATCAATTAAAGTAGTAAAAAAGTCTGGTAAGAATAGAACATATCCTTCTAAGAAACTAATAAAACGATGCGGACTCATTTGATAAACATGGCGAATAACAAAATAGAAGAGAAATTTATGGTTTAAAAT